TTGCAAACCCATATGGTCCAAGCACACTCTTCCCTACCGGTTGTGCTCCTAGTCTAAATCAGAGCACTTTCTTCCCTAGCAGTGGAAGTGGTGAAAATCGAAGCACCTTCTTCCCCTACGATGGTGCTGGAAATTCATATCTTGAACAAAAAGTTACCGTTGAACCTGACAGTTATTTTGTTCAAGACTTGAACATGCCTCCGATGCAGTCTCCCAACCCGTACCCATACCGATCTCTCGAACTGTTAAAACCGTTGTGGGAGGTAGATATGGCAGAAGATGTTTCTGTTGCTGCCAAAATTTTGAACATACCCGAAGACGACGATAACTCCGATTCTGAAGATATCAAGCCGGTAAGGAATAGTTTTTGGGGTATGTCCGACCCACCACCTTGTCCGGACCCAGTTATCAAAAGTAGAAAGGGAAACATTTCCTACCAGCTTACATCTCATGTCAAAGTTCTACAAATCTTTGACTCGAAGGAAGCACTTAAGCTCGCAGTGGGATTAAAGTGCGTTCATGAAAACTTTCAGATGAAAGTAAAGAAATCTTCCAAACACCGGTACGAGGTGGTCTGTCACTCAGATTTAGACTGTGATTGGCGTTTGATGGCTGTTTCCATCGATGGTACCAGTATTTTTCAGGTACACAAGCTCCATAACAAACACACATGTTCAAGGTCCCAAGTGCACCCAAACCATCGTAATGCGAATAAAAAGGTTTTGGGTCATATATTGGCAGATAGTCTAAATGATTGTAGGAGAGTGTACCGTGGTAAAGAAATCATGGAAGATGTGAACCAACGGTTCAATATTAGCATCTCCTACCACCAAGCATGGCGAGCAAAGATGTATGCCTTGCAACTGTTGAGGGGGACCCCGGAATCGTCGTTTAACCTACTCCCGGTTTATTGTCACAATCTAAAGCTAGCAAATCCTAGGACTGTGACAGAGATTGCTCTTGATCCACTAGGACGATTCGACATGTTGTTTGTCGCACTCGGTTGTTCGGTAATAATTTTGTCATATTTTATAATTATTGTCATAATTTTATGTTCCGAAATTACATTTTTAATCTCGTTCATCTGCAGATTCGATCGTTTCTAGGACACATGAGACCGCTTCTTATAATGGACGGTGTCCATCTGAAGGGGCCGTACGTTGGCACCATGTTCTTAGCGGTCGGCATGGATGGAAACAATGGTATCGTACCCATTGTAATGGGAGTAGGGAAGACAAAAAGTGGCACGTCATGGACATGGTTTTTACGTAAGCTTAGGCAGTATATCGGTGATGTGCCCAATTTAACCTTCGTCACCGATAGGACTGCCTCTATCGACCTGGCCATACGAACTGTATTTCCTTCTGCGCACCATGGACTTTGTTGTCGGCATTTGAGCCAAAACCTCCGCCTAAACTCTATTAAAGAGAAAAGGAAACGGTGGATTTTCTGGGAGGCATGCAAAGCTTACCGGTTGTCAGACTTTGAAGCTACTATGGATTTGATGCGACATAGTCTACCTAGAGCCGCTCAATATCTTGAGGAAGTTGGCTACGCTAGATGGGCACGATCGCACTTCGCTGGATTACGTTACAGTGCAATGACGTCCAATAGTGTTGAGTCCATCAACTCTAGTAACGCGGTTTGCACGCTATCTTCCGATAACACTGTTAGTTGAATTTTATCGGGCTACATTACAACAATGGTATTTCATATGTCGGCATAACGGAGGTAAATTCAACCATCCTTTGACTATATGTTTGATTATGTAACATATGCTAATGATATCAAATATCTGCAGCGCAAATGATGAATGCCGTGACTCCTTGGGCGGAGGCCAAATTAGAGAAAATAATACATAGGAGCGCAAATTGGAAGGTATATCCCATTAGCGATTTGTTATTTGAAGTTAACGACCGCTATAAGAAAGGAACGTGTGATTTGTATGCTAAGACTTGTACATGCATGCAATGGCAACTTTCTGGAATAGCTTGCGGTCATGTGATTTCTGTTGCTCGAAGTTTAGATATTCAAGACTGCAGTCAATTCTGTTCTGTTTGGTTCAATTTCGACTCTTACCGTGCAACATATGAGGAGGAAGTCATTCCCCTTCCACCAGAAGCTGAATATGTGTTGCCCAACAAACGTTTGACCGTCCTACCCCCTCCCTTGGACATACAAAACTCAGGCAGGCCACACAACCGCGATCGTATCCCGTCACGAGACGAGGAACCAATAGTGAAAACTTGCAGTCGATGCGGCCAGAGTGGACATTTTCGATATAACTGTCCAAGTCTGATGCCAGCTCCTAGGCCGACGCACGGAAGTTCAAGTAGT